AAAAAGAAAAGAAGTTCCGAGTTTTTTTGCACAAAGCGTCACTTTAAAGTTTAAATAGATTAAGCAAGGGGATGCCATGAGATAGTCCCTATTACCCACCCACCATGATAATTGATCATTTTATTATTGAATGGAGGAGACTGGAGCACATGGAATCCCATGTGGGGTGGTAGGTAAGGATTCCTTGCATGTAGCCAAGTTTGAGATGAGGAGTTGTTGCTCTTGGATATTTGTAGCCACCTATAATTGACTGGAGCCCTGGTGTCAAATTTAGTTTCCAAACGCCTGAATGCTAGATTGTTACCCCTTGCACTGTTCTTTGATTTAAAAAATGGGGTGGAAATTTGTTTCGATGCCAATTTTGACATCGCAACTCTATAAGTGGCACTCTAGTGCTAATGCTTCGCTGATGCGTACCTCTATTCTCATTTGAGATGGATTAAATTCCATGGTCTTAAGCGGCATCGATTGTTCATCGTGGTTGCGATCCTTCTCCAAAAGTTCCTAGAGGCCTAAAACAATTGGTGCCTTGATGCAGAAGACACCAATTCTTCAACTTCATTTTTTTTTTATGATAACAGGTAATTGTCAAACAATCTTATTTTCTTAGGCTAATTGTCTAGGCAAATTATAGATTTAGGCTTCAAGTACTCTCCAACACCTTAGTTTTTCTTATAATGTTTTTTAGCTACATTTCTTTTTAGTATTTTGTTCTTCCAACTATTTCTCACTTTTTAATGTCAGTATTTTGACATGTTCTTCTAGATTGATTACAATGTTGCTCGAAAAATAGCAGGTTATTATGATGCTAATAAACTAATTTAGGCTTCAATATTTTTTATAGCAATTTCTTCTCTTTGTAGCTCGACATCAATCCTACTCATGAATTGAGAAGTGGTGAGGGTGAACTGATCAAAAGCATCCCTCAATGAAATATCTCTCTTTTAGTTGTTGAAACCCAAAAAATTTTTGAAAGGCAGGAGGTTGTTGATAACTAGGAGGCTACCGCATCATTTTAGGATTTTTTGAGGATGAATTTATGTGATTTCCATATCTTGGATTCTATGTGCTTGAGAATGAATTATTAAGCTAAATTTCTCACAACTTGAGATGCTCCAGATGGGAATGAGCAAACAAATTGTTTTGTTGACATTTGTTGCTTTGGCGAGCTCTTCTACAGAATTCACAACTTATTGATGTAGTATGCGTTGCATTGGCTGCAAATGAACTTATTTGCTTTATTAAGGAGTTGGCCTAATGAATGTGCTCTAATATTAGGTCTACATCTTGTCCTTTGGTATGGTTTGTTGAGCATCCTAGAGGACTAATATTGGAACCCATTTTACATAGGACTTTGAACCACTTTTTGACCCATTTTTGCGAAGACCTCGCATGAATGGTTCTAAGCACTCGACTTCTAGTTGCAAGGGCTAAAGACCAATATGTGGAGGGCCCGAAAATTAGTTCTCATACCGTCAAAAGGCCTTAGGTGAACCTTTTGTGGCTCGGCTACGCAAACACCACAACACTCTCAGACATTGCACCGTCAAATTAAACCAAATCAATTTTCTAAATGATTCGTTACGAACCTAAAATTTCAAAAAAAATCAAAGTTGACACATTTTTTGTCTGACCGTCGACGAACTTGTGCGGATGACCCCGAATGCTAAACAGATCACGTTTGCACGTTCAGAATGACAATTTTAACCGGAAAGGACACCCATATTGTTATAGTTCCACGCTTGCACAAACGACGCACCAATCGATACACATGAATATTTAATTAGGGGATGCGATTCTAGCTCAGCCCAGGTGCAATTCGGGTTCGATTTAGGTTGGACCCGAGTTGAATATGGGTAATTATCTCAGCTCACATGATTTCGAATTTCAAATTTTAAATTTCAAATATATCATTTAATCCCCCGTTAATTGAATATAATTAAGGGTTAAGCTTTTTCCAATTGAGTCTCCTCCGCTCATGGAAGCAAATTAATTAACCTCCAATGCTTCACGTAATGTCTCATTCGAAATTTTGGCTATACTAATTCGACACATGTGGAGGAGAGGCGAGCAGGTGGGACTTGTCGTGCGGAGGAGAGGTGAGCAGGTGGGCTTCGGTTTCACGAGAGAGGGAAGCAGGCGAACGGGCTCAGTGCAGAGGAGAGGGATGCGAAGCAGCTAGGGCTTCGGTCGGGTGAGGAGAGATGAGTCGAGCGGGAGAAGAAGAGGGGGCCGAATGGCTGTTGGGTCGTGCAAGAGAAAGAGGAGCAGGCGAGGGTTTGTCTGGTCGCGTGTGAGAGGGAAGCAGGCAGGGCTTCGGTGCAGGGAACCGAGCTAGGCTTCGACCGTGAGAAAGGGGAAGTCGAAGCAGGTGAGCTGGGTTTTCTGTGCAGAGCGGAGGAGACGGGATCGAGAGAAAGGGAGAGCAGCAGTATTCTGCGCAGGGGAGAGGAGTCGAATTATTATAGCCAAAATTTCGAGGGAGATGTTACGTGAAGCATTGGCGAAGAATTAATTTGTTTCTATGAGCAGAGGAGACTCAATTGGAAAAGCTTAACCCTTAATTATATTCAATTAATGGGGGATTAAATGATATATTTGAAATTTAAAATTTAAAATTCGAATCATGTGAGCTGAGGTAATTAGCTCGTGTTCAGCTTGCGTCCAACCCGAATTGCACCTGGGTTGAGCCAGAATCGCACCTGGGTTGAGCCAGAATCGCACCCCCTAATTAAATATTCATGTGCTCGTTTCGTTTGTGCAAACGCGGAATCATAGCAATATGAGTGTTCTTCCCTGTTAAAATTGACGTCCTGGACGAGCTGACGTTATCTGTTTCGTCATCCGGGATCTTCCAGAAAAGTTCGTCGACTGTCGGGCCAAAATGTGTCAACTTTGATTTTCTTTGAAATTTTCAGTTCGTGACGAATCATTTTGAAAATTGATTTGGTTTAATTTAACGGTGCAATGTCTGAGAGTGTTGTGATTTTTGCGTAGCCGAGTCACAAAGGGTTCACCTAAGGCTTTATGTTCTTATGAGAACTCATTTTCAGGCCCTCCACATGCTGGTCCTTAGCCCTTGCAACTAGAAGTCAAGTGCTTGGGACCACTCTTGCGAGGTTTTCTAAAAAATGGGCAAGAAGTGGTTCGCAGTCCTATGTAAGGTGGGTTCCAATATTAGTCCTCTAGGATGGTCAACAGGGAATCCTAGGCTCTAAGGAGAAAAAACTAAGGCCTCACTGAAAATGAGGTCAACATGGTTAGGTCACTTTGACACTGAAAATTGTGGATGTTAATTCTTGCAACAGAGCATAAGCACTTTCTTATGGCTTGCTCATAAAAATGGCACTTGATGTTGCATCGATAAGTGTAATTATACCTCCAGTCAAATCATGGTAGAAGGTTTGTATTTATGTCCACTTTGTCAGCCCTTAATATGGACACTTTCCGAAAGGATTCTTCTATTTCAGGCATCGTAGAGTGTTTCACCTTCAAGTTGACTAAAAATTAAAATCTCTATGTGTTTTTATATAGTCTTTGTGAATGGGAAGTATTTTGAAAGAAGCTTTTGCGTCAGACCATCCCAATATGTGATATAGGCATTGGGTAAATAATTTAGCTAATTTTTTCCTCGACCCCACAGTAAGAATGAAAATAGATGAAGGCAAATTTCATTGTCAAACACACTCCATTGAACTTAGATGTCATAAATTTCTGGAAAAATTGTGATTTGATTGTTCGAATCTTCATTCACTAAACCTCTAACTTGGATGTTTTAAATAATTTGTAGCACGACCGGCTGATCTTGCAATTATTTTTTGAATTCTAGGCTCCACAATAGCCATAGGAATTTTGGTGATAGTTGGCAACACATTGTTTCGTAGGTGTCTTCTTCTCATGGCAGAGCCTTCATTCTTTCGAATTTCTTATAGGACTTCTTTCAATATCAGAATCAAAGGGTAGCAAGCTTAAATTAAACTGCCATTGATCTTAGTAATAATCAATCATCTGCAATGATGCCATGAACTTGCTTCCCTGCAAAAAAACTTTTGCTCTTTTGCTTAACAAATCCCCCAAAAAAGGTTCTCCAATCACTCTCTGGCCTAAGAAATTCATAGTTTTATTCATCTATAAGAGTCCCCAGCTAATAAATCAATACAAGCATCATTTTTACTACAATCAAACAAATATTGTGCTCTCCTCTCTCTATCAAGCTCAAGAACAGAGGTGGGATCCCTTAGGCTAGACAAGCTTCTAAAACTTTTTAATATTCTCAAGCATTGAGAATGTATTTTGTGGTTTACTTGGGAATTTTAAATGTCAACACCATCAATAATTCAAAATTGGAGCATTTGTTGTTTTTTTATTTATATTAATTCAATATCTGAGAAGCAATGATTGTGTGTTTTTCATAGTTTTTGTTTAAAGTTTGGCAAAGCACATATTGATTTAACTTTGAAAACGTATGGATTGCTAACTTAGAAGCATACTTGTGTATATACAAATGCATGGTAAACTCACATAGAAAGCAGGATAGAAGTCTATTTTTGTACACCTGGTTTGCGAGTATGGAATTGTAACTTTATGGGAGTACTATCATAAAATGACATTTTTAACTTAAATTTGAAATGCATAAATCTCCTTTTGTTTCCTTAAAATGTCTGTAGGCATGGCCAACATATTCTTTTATTTGTTTATTTTAGCTGTTTTCATGTTTTTGTTAGTGGAAAAAACAATTAAAAAAATAAAAAAATCTTTGTGTTAGTGGAAATTTAAGAATCCACAAATAATTGGATACCACACCCCTTGACTCTATTTGATACTATTAATTGCCATTGCTAAGTCTATCAAGTAACTTAGTCTAATGACTTTTTAGAAGAAAGGAAGATATCAATTTCTTTGCTAGTACCTGAAACAGTTACATCAAATCACCATCAAAATTAAGTTTTGAACCTTCATGCCCCATCTTTATCTCATGTAGTTTGGGTGTTGATCTTTAGATTGCTCGGGAGGTTCTGGATGCTGCTGCTCGTTTCATTCGCCCAGGAGTAACCACCGATGAAATTGATGAAGTGGTACATGAAGCAACCATTGCTGCTGGTAAACTCACATAAAATTTTCTTGTGGCATATTTTAGTGTGAAAATTTCATTTCTTTGAATTTGATTGCTTTAATAAGCTTGTTACTTGCATTATGTGAATTAATATGTACATTCAGCCTATCTACAAATTTTAAAATGAGAGATGATAAATTTATGTAGTGTTAAATGAAAAGGCAATATCACCTCTTTGTGTCTTTGTACAATATCTTGTTGATTTCAGGACAAATATCCATATAATTCCTGATATTTGGGATATTTAATGCATGCTTGTATTAATGCTTACGGAATATGTAAAACAAATTGCTTGCTTAAATTAGAATCATCTCGACACAATGCACTTATTTGGATGAATGATGAAAAGGAATTCATATATTTACCACAAATGGTTGTGTTAAAAGTCATTTATGATGATGATGATGATCTAAGCATATAAATGATCAAGTTTTCAAGTACCATAAAACATAAATAGTATAAAAAAGAAAGGAAAGTGAAATGAATTGCATGCACGTTCGTTTGCAAGCTATTTCCTTCTAAACTGACTGCAGCACAAAAATGATTATCTTGCTTTACTGAGTGCTGTCATTTTTCATCTTGCTTTGTATGATTTTTTTTTTCAGTGGAAAAGGCCACAATAGTCTTTGCAATTTTTGGGGAGGGCCATTTTAGTTCTTGATTATTGAATGTGCCCATTTTACTTTCTTTAAAGGTGGCCATTTTGAGGTTGTCCGCCTAGTGCGACATAAATCCTCAACTTGTCCGCCTAGGCGACATAAATCCTCAACTTATATTTAGGCCTTTGCCCATTTTACTTTCTTTAAAGGATGGGAAATTCACACGGGCGGTAGGATTAGAGGATATAGGCGTATAACTATCTTTTGCATTTTTAGTAATAGTTGGTAAAAAGTTGAACTTTATGGTAAGCAATATAAAGCCGAATTTAACTCCAATCAACATCGGTCGCATAACTTTTTGTCTAATTACACAACAATTTTAATGGTTGGAATAATTTAGACTAATTTTAAAGAGTTATGAAACCAAATTGGGCACCTTTAATATTAAAATGGCCTTACAAAAAATTTAGGGACCATTTTGGGCTTTTTTTCTGTTTCATTATGTTTATGCTCTATTTTGCTAGAATCAATTTGCTCTTTATTTTACTTTTGTTTCTTTTTGTGTCAGGTGGATATCCTTCTCCATTAAATTATCATTTCTTTCCCAAATCTTGTTGCACGTATGACCTTCCACGCTCAAATACTCTACCTTATTTTATTAAAAAAACTTGAACCACTTAACTGCTGTCATGTTATTTCGCTGTACAGATCTGTTAACGAGGTCATCTGCCATGGTATTCCTGATGCCAGGTGCATTATTTACTTTTCGCCCTTATGAGTTTCATGCCTGATTTTTGGATTCAATTGGTCAAATTCATATGGCTTTACCGAATTTTATCGGTGGTTGTGCTGCTAATTATAGCAAAATGTTATGTTTCTGTGGTTGTAATAAGTTATTTCTTGAAACAAGTAGGCTTATTTGTGATATTGTCTATATGCTTAAATCAATTGATTCATATATCAATTTTATGATGATGTATGCACTTTTTATCTATGCTGAGATTAATGAAGTGTGGGCACCAAGGAAAAAAATTGATTTCTTCTTTTTTTTCTGTTGATTTGGTAATTTTTTCTTTATTTGCTGGAAAATTGCTAAAAACTTTGTGTTCAGGAGACTAGAAGATGGTGACATTGTTAATGTTGATGTAACTGTGTATTACAAAGGTGTCCATGGTAAGAATTATTTTCCAGTCATCTGTTTTGTTCCCCTAAATATTTCAGAATATCTTACGTTCAAATGAAATATGTAAGGTGATCTGAACGAGACTTACTTTGTTGGAAATGTGGATGAAGAGTCTCAACGACTTGTTCGTTGCACATATGAATGCTTGGAGAAAGCCATTTCTATAGGTAACTTTTGTTGCTTGCTAGAATATTCGAGAGAACTTATTTATTAGTTTTATAGGAGGCTGACTGTTTGCATGGTTTTATTACAAGGTTTTTTTTTAATCTGGCGCCTGAAGTTTTTAACTTGATACAATGGTTTTGCTTTTTAGTATCCACTATGTATGAATGGCTCTATTTTCTTTGGCTAAAATTACATTTGGTATGATCTCATTTTAGTTATGTTTATTACTTTGACAACGTGCACGCTGCTATGCAATGCAGATGTTTTGATATTGATTTCCAGTTTATAGTAAAATTTTCTTACAATATGATGCCCCACACTGCATTTGCATGGGAATTTTGCAAGGCCACCTCAAAAAATTGCTAAGGAAAACTATATTCTTAATAAATTTTAAGTATTGCTCTATTTAACTCTCCAATCTCCCATCCTCATCAGTAGCAGTGAACTTGTTTCAACTATCTGTAGTTGTCTTTTCAATTCTGGATTTTTTGGATTTTGTGTTATCTTTTTCTGTAGACAGTCGGCTTAATGCCAAACCTCAACCTAACAATGAGGGCGACCATATTGGCTCCTCAAATTGTTTGGATCCCTCACTTATTGTTAGCTGGCTTTCTTCTGCATCTCCATTCTTTCTCTCCATTAGAAATTTTATAGCAGTCTTTATGGATTATTCCAAAAGAGATTGCAACCAAAGAAAAACTGCTGAGATATATCCAAGAAAGATGAAACGAAAGGACCCAAGACAAGAATCATAGCTTTAGTTGCCACCATTTCAATCCATCGATCCTTTTCTTAAGTGTGCAACAATCGCATCTTTTTCAGACTGACTTTATCATACAATTTGAGGCTTTAACTTGCAAAACAAGCCTACAATGAACAAGTTAGCCTCATTGATTGATGAATTATCGTATTTAGCTTGGTGCTATTCAATACTATAGCTTCTAAAATTTCCTATGAAATATCAAAAATATGATCCAACAGAGCGTGCATTTGCATTCTTTCAATCGCTACTTAAATCATTAATCTCCAGATTTTAGCGATCTCCATATTTCTTGTATCCTCATTTTTTCATGTCGAACTCTCAAGCTCATCAATGGTGGTGGTCGTGCAAATGCTGAGAACAACCTTTGGCGTTCCTAATGGAATCTACAATACATTAGCTCAGGTCATGGAAGTGGGGGGCTTAAGTGGTTGGCGTGAATACTGGCGTGCTGGTGTAGCAGATTGCGTGAATGTATTAGACCTCCCATCTTCTCTTGTTTCACTTTTAGCCTAGATAGAGGGGTATAAAGAGTGTTGCGTTTGGCATGCATTGAGAACACTCATTCTATTATCCATCTCACTTTTTCTCATCTGAGAAGTTTTCATTATCCCCAATCTGTTTGTGAATCTAACCACCATTTCAATCTCTAAATAATACTCAAGGCATTATTCAATTAGGAGTAGGGGGAAACTATGAGGGTAGAGAGAGTCGTTTTGATGAAGAACATAACATGAGGATCATGGATTTTTCTGGGGGTAAGAAATGAGTAGGATGCAAGTAAATTTTTACAGTGATACAAAGCTAATCGATCACTTGAAAGATGTAATGATAGATTAGTAAGGGGTCCACTTAAATATATGGGTTATTTTACTTAGAGATGCTTGTTCTTGTTGCAAAGATCAATGTGGAAAGTCTTACTATTTTTGTCTGCAAATTCACTTGATTTGCAACCATTTGGCATGTAGAATACATGTTTTTATGATGATTTGTCGGAGGGAATTCATTCCCCTTGAATTTAGTGAGAGCTTTGGAGCCAACAAATTCTACATTCTAAGAAAGGCCTTGTCTAGTCTAACAATTTTCTGGAACTTTGTTTGAAAGATTTATAAAAATAAACCATGGGGTTATAGTAAAAGTTAGTGGCATCAAACTCTATCAATTAAGTGCCCATATGGAGGAGTCATAATTTTTTTTATGTATGTCGAAGATATAATTGTAAAAGAAAATGAAGATAAAGAAAACAAAAGGATTTTTGAAGTTGTGTTTGACTAAAGAATTTAATATAAAAGAGCTAGAAAATTATGCTTTTTTCTATGATTTAAGGTTGGCGCTCACATTAAAGGAGCTTCATTTAATAACAAATACATGCAATTGATTTACTAACCCAATGCAATTGATTTACTAACCCAAAAAAAAAAAAAAAAGAAAGGCAGCTTGTAAACAGGCTTTTACACAATTTGATCCAAATCATAAATTAGGCAAAACGAAAAAAGGCCTAGCAATAAACAGAGAAATGCACCAATAATTAGTGGGAAAACGTACTCATCCCACGCGAGTCTGGATATAGCTTATGTTTTGTGATAAGTCAATTCATGTATGATTGAAGGGTGATTCTTCTATAGGTTGTGCCGAATTGTTCATTAATAAAGGCTAATCATGGAAGGGGGATTTTGTGTAGAGAAACACAAAGTTGGAATTTGAATCCTACATAAATGTTTACTATGTAGGCTCACCTATAGATATGAGATCTATTTTTGGTTTGTGAAACTTTCTTGGAGGCAAATTTGTCACATGGAGATGCAAAAAATAAAATATAGTTGCTAGATCTAATGTTGATGTTAGGTTCAGAGTAGTTGCAAATGATCTAATGTTCAAAGTAGTTGCAAACGATATATAATTATCTTGTTCTACTAAAAATTCTAAATTATCTAAAGATTGAGAGGGATAAAATCATGAGCCTCTTTTATGATAATGAGTCAACAATAAATATGACACAATCGTGTGCAGCCTAATAGAACGAAACATGTCTATGTCATATGTATATAAGGAATTCATAAGCAAATGCTCGATAATAAAGTTTCAGGAGATTATTGGCTACCTGGAAATCAAAGATAGCTATTTGTTAACCTTTATATATTTTTCGAACTTAATTTGGTTGAGTACAACAAAGGAGGCGACAAACAAAGAATTCAACCATTCAAGTCCAAGTTATTTTGATTGTCGCTGAAAATATACAATTGATCCTCATTCGCGAATATGATCTGTGTAGATGTATACAAAATGTCATAAATAAAGGTCAAGCTTACACAAATGCGAAACATGAATTTACCCATATGCCAGGCTGATGGCATGCCTTTGAGGTGCACGAGCAGTGAATATTAGAGGCGACACACAAGCGCAAACACACATATAATAATAAAAATAAAATTAATCCATTCTTGAATGGTTAAGAGGTTAATTACACATTTTTATTAAAAATAATTTAAAATTTTAAATTACTATTCATATATATATATATATATATATACATATACATATATATATATATATATATACATATATATATATATATATATATATATACATATACATATATATATAGTTTAGAAAAGAATAAATAGAATTCGTTTTAGCCATTCCTGCCACGTCCCTACTGGTATGCTCAATTCCCACTTCCCATCTGTCTTTTCCTGCTAGAAAACCAGAAAAAAAGAAAACCATTCTTTGTTCTTCCCTATTCGAACAACTCTCTCCCCCGCTCATGTTTGGCTCTCTCCTGCCCACAAAACAACTCAGCTCCATCTTTCTACCCTATCCTTTCCGCTTCCAACTACAGCACCCGAAACGTTCTTTAATTCCCACACAAAGTTTGCTGTTGTGTCCGCAGTTAAACGCTACACCCATCTCTGTCCTCCCCTTTGGCAACCCACGTCAAACCCATCTCCTCTTTTTCTTCCAACTAGCCAAGTCTCATGTGAGCTCCTCTCCGCCTCTCTACCCAAAAACCTTTGTCCTTGTTCCGTCTGCCTCTCTGATCCAATGCCGGCAAAGACTAACCCACAGACCCACCTTAGTTCTTTCTTGCAGGTTCCATGTGAAATCAAGCCTAACCTCTGTCTCCTGCTTCCCTCGTTTCGCATGGAGCTCACACAACATGCTCCAATACCCACATATCTCACTCACGCAGGAGCTCTCAGATCCCTGTTCCTCCATCTGAGTCGTAACGTGCAATCCTCAACTTCTTTGCTTTCCTTTGTACAACTCTGGTGACTTGAGCAGCAAGCCATAAATTCCATACGCATAGCCCATTAACTACAGTTCACCTCCCATATTGCAGCCAGATTTGTCGCCGTACGATAACCTTTCACTCTCATATGCATGATTTAGACAGCTAGAACAGCCCAGTCCAGATCACCATCCAGCCTGAGCAACTCCTCCCCAAGGCCCAAATCTCTTTTCATGTACCCTACCCTTAGCCTCCAACCTGCAGGCTAATATACTTCCCTTACTGCCTCCCATTAACAGTAGCTCATCTCCTTTCTCCCACTACCAGCAGCAAGCCCAGTTCCCCTAAGACTCTCTCCAGACCAAACTGCCAACAAATTGCCACCTCCATCTTGTTTTCTGTTGCATTTGTCTCAACTATAGTATGTTTAACACCTATAACCATTTTTGCCTTCCAACTGCAGCCAACTGTAGCCCACCATGAAATGGCCATCCAACTCCCATGAGCACCAACTAGCAATTTGTGACCTCGCTGCCCCGAATTCGTCGTCTCGCGCAAGGTATAATTCTAGAAACAATTAAGCACCTTTTCAGGTTATTCTAATATGCGGGAAAATCCTATTTTGGCTATTTACGCATATATATGAAGGCCTACATGCGTTTTTTAGATGGCTGAGTAGGTTAGAAGACATAAAAGTCTTTAAGTACCTGTTCGAGTTATTTCAATCTTTGGGAAAATGTGTTTTGATTATTTATGCAGGTACTTGAAGGCCTATATGTCTCATTTTAGACATGTAGGTTAAATTATATTGCCTCCGTGTTGTAAAAAACAACTGATATGCGTCTTTTAGATGGGTGGGCGGGCCTTCTTCAGTCAATTTCTTTCCCACCAGGGGAGGGAATATTGGGGTACTGTCGAAGCTTTGACTGAAAAAATGATTTGACACTTAAACAAGTCAGAACTAATCCAAATATAGCAATTTAATAAGGAGACAAATTACAAAATTGTCGGCA